GAAATTGCTAAATTGTAAGGGATCCAAAGTTCGGGGACTAAAATATAAATACTTAAAAGTTGTGCCGAACCTCACGATGAAGATTTGAGAGTGCTCGGAGTCAATTGGATAAAGGAAGACGTCAATGGAATCAGATTTAGTCAAAAGATGATCACAAATCAATTTTCAACCGAAAAGTTATGCTCCGATGTTTTAGTCTCATATTGAGACCTATTTTTGGCATAAAAAGTGATCGAAATGGAGAATGATGTCTGATCAAAGTTGTAGCCAGATGATTTAGCTTTCCAACGCATTTTGAATCGCCTCAATCGGATATCAGAATACAAAGTTATGATAAAAACACTGAAAGAATGTGTAGCTGCCTGTTTAAAACAAGAAATTCCATTAGATAGTCCGTTAAAACAACAAATTCCGTTAGTTTTTCCGTTAAAAACAAGAAATTCCGTTACATAGCCACTTTTAATATATAGAAGAAATTTTGTATTGCTGTTTGATAAGTGATTGGGTAAATTACATTAGGAGTCCAATCTTTCAAAAAAGTGCAGTAAAATCCCAAACCTTTCAATATAACAAGCGAGAAAAATTAACGTAATAAATAAGGAAAATATACCTACAAGCTTTATTTGTCAAGCTCAAATCGATTCATGAATTGGTAGTAAAACAAGTCAAGCCAATCCGCCAAGTAGATGAGTGGACTTCCCCCCAACACAAATATTTTTAGTCATGATTGGATTCTTGAACTTGTAACCTTATATGGAATTGGATAAGAGAAAATACACTTGTACAATTATTAAGAACGGTAAATTGTACAGCACTCTCACATGAACGTGAGGCCCACTAATTAACATGATTGGATTCTTGAACTTGTAACCATATATGGAAGAGTAATGTTATTCACGTGTACAGTCATTAAGGACTGTAAATTGTAAGCCCTATCACATGAACGTGGAGCCCACTAATTAATTAATTATTGGGCCTCACGTTCATGTGAGATGACTGTAAAATTTATAGCCCTTAATGACTGTAAATGTAGCAGTTCTCATTAGATAATTACTGATTGATTTTCGGCACATACGTCCAATTTTGAATTTTCAATATTATATATGAATTAACCCCGTTTTATTTTTAAGTGTATGATTTAGCTACCCATACATAAATAAGTTGTATAATAATTTACATACAGACAATGTGTCAAAAAAGAATGATATTTTTTTTGTTATTTGGTTGAATGAATACTGATTGAATCATATTTAACAACATCATATATATGTAAATAATTATGTACATGTAACATCGATTAATCATATTCCATACTTTAAATTCGTTGCAACTTGCAATCTTATTTAAAATTTATCTTGTCTGTGAGAGAGAGACTATGAGTAGACAAGATATTCATAAAAACTACGGATTATCATCACGTCACACCCGTAACTAAAAGACTAATGAAAATTATTAATATTAATTCGACTTCTACAAAAAACCCCACTCTCTCCCCGACTCCAAACACAAATATGACTTCCACAAAGGCAATAAGAAAGAATTTGCAAAGCCCTCGAGTCATAGAATGGAAGCTGATGTTTCTATTAGGTTAAATTTACTTTGTTTCTGGGGATTTGAGATCAGCGGGGGTTGAAAAATAAGGATTGGAAAAAGATGGGGAAATTCTGGGTATTTTTCTTCTGTTTTTTCGCTTTGTTGGGTCCTTACAAAGCCTTTGGCAATGTTATTTTGATCGGAAAGAATGTCACTTTATCGTTTGAAGAAACGGGAGCTACTTTTGGTGAGTTGATGTTTTCATTTTTGTTATTATGTTTTCCCCTCGCAGAAATTTAAGTTATCGCAATTAAGAATGCAATTGGAATACGGGTTTACTTGGTTTTTTTTCCCTCTTTTAATTGCACGAGTGATTCAAGTTCTGCACTGTGTTTTTTATTTAATTTTTGATCTCTTTGTTGCAAAAGATGGAATCTTTATCTGATAAACTTGGCGTTTTCTTATGCATTCTGTGCTTAAAAAAGCTAGACTTGACTGGACAATAAAACAAACGAATTTTTAGCATTTTTTCTTCTTTATTAATGTATCAAATCATTCCTACCAAATATGATAGAAGCGTGTTACGTGAGTCAGTTTTTAGTTAAAATAAAGTGATAATACCGGGATTAGCTGGTCTGGTGTTTGTAAGTTAGGCAGTGTATGTTTCATAATTTGGAACGAACCAAGATGGATGGAATAGGATTTTTTAACTTCTCTTTACTGATTTGGCATTCAAGATTGTACTCTATGACTATTTCTACTACAACCGTTTGACGAAGATTATATCGCTTTTTAAAAAAAATTCTAGTGGCTTTATTCTGTACTGGGCATTTACTGATAGATATTGTCTATGTAATTTCAGCTCAACCAGTGAAAGGTTTTGGTATATGTGGCACATTGCATATGGCCGAACCTTTGGATGCATGTTCGCCATTGACTAATAACATTGTTTTGAAAACAAACTGCACCAAATTTTCATTTGTTTTGATCATCAGAGAGGGATGCAACTTTGAGGAGAAAGTGAGAAGAGCACAAGCTGCAGGATTCAAAGCGGCCATTATATATGACAGTGAAGATGGCGATCTAGTTGCAAGTAATGGCTTTTTCCTACAAGCAACTTCATGCGTGTTATTTTGCTTGTTTTTGCTTTAATGGAAGAACATAGAATACATGTTTCTTATGATTGGCATTTGACTAATATCTTCTTAGTTTACTGGATTTTATCTTTGAAATGTATGAATAAGTGGTAGCTCGTGGATGGTCATTTAACCCCTGATTTGACTACCATTATTTAAAAACTATTTTTTATTACATACTCATTTTCAACCACATATTCACAAAATAAAATATTCTGCACGTAAACCCTAAACTTTCCTCTACCTTTTAACCACACGTTTTCCTACAAATCACTATTCAAGCCATTATTTTTCCCAAATAATTGCCATCAAACAGGGATTTAGCTTGCTTTAGATCCTTTGGTAGATCTAGCAATGAACATTATGGAGGGGAGAATAAGGATTCATGTAGCTAACCTCAAACATGGGTTAATTCGTTTTTAGTTGTATACGGAAAGCTGTTTTTGGCTCATATATGTAGAATAGCTTTTTTTTTTCTTTTGGTTGGGCTAATATATGCAGAATAGTTCATCCATAGATATCAAAAAAGCGCGTAAAGTATGCAATGATTATAAGAGCATACTAGCACGAGTAAATTATGTTCTGGAATTCCCTGAACGTAATTACCATCTTATGTGCTGGACTTCATTCTCATTAGCTCATTTCTAGAAATAAACTACAAAAATAAAGGTGGTGAATCTGTTGTATTAATTCGAGGAGTGTCAAGAATTCTATCAAATTTATGGAAATTTGTATTTGTAATCCGTGTTTAAGAAGATGAGAAATGGACCAAATATTCTCTGTCTTTCTCTTAAATTATTATTGATAGTATATTCAAGATCTGATGGCCAATTATAATATGCCAAAGAGTTTTTTGCATGATGAACGGTAAGATACAAGAGCTATAATTTTAGAGTCAAAACACTGAGAGCCAATGGGTAGGTGATGCAGTTGGCAATTGCCCTTGCATAATAAAGTCTCGTCACTTTTGTTCTTGTTCCTGGAAATCCTAAAGGATCGGCAGTATTCATGCGTATGATACAATATTTATTATTTTACGAATTATATGATTAAGGCAATTCAAATATTCTAAGTATTAATTAATCATTTTATGTTGGAAATGCAGTGGAAGGAAATTCTGATGGTATAAAAATATATGCAGTGTTTGTATCCAAAGTTTCTGGTGAAACATTGTCAAATTATGCTGGTGTTCCAAACACGGAGCTATGGCTAGCCCCGAGTTTTGAATGCTCAGCAGGGCTGATCATGGCTATAGCTTTTGTTTCATTATTTGCCGTGGCTGCATTTTTATCTGTGTGTTTATACTACCGGAGGCATCATACTGGAAGAGCACGGACTCGAGTTCCATGCATAAGGGAATTCCATGGGATAAGTAGTCGCCTCGTGAAAGCCATGCCAAGCCTAATTTTTTCATCTGTTTCGGAGGATAATTCTACGTCAAGTACATGTGCTATATGTCTTGAAGATTATAATGTTGGAGAGATGCTTAGGATTCTGCCATGCCTCCACAGTAAGTCATCTGTTATTTACATGATTCTGTTTTACCGTCTGATCTGTACAATATGAAATACTTCCGCTGGTACTGTCTCAGACCTCCCTGAAAGAAGGGAAACCAGCTAGCCAATAGAAAGCTCTTCTCATCTTCTACTTCTATTCGATTGCTTTATGAGGGGATTGTCATTTACCCATGGACAAAGTAATTAATTGTATCTTAATCATTCTGTACGTTCTTTTTAACTAACTTATATCTTGGAATTTTGACAGAGTTTCATGCTTTTTGCGTTGATGCTTGGTTGACATCATGGAGAACATTCTGTCCCGTTTGCAAATGTGATACAAGAATTAATACCGGAGATCCACCAGCATCAGAATTTACACCGTTGCTATCATCCAGCCCGGCTTCTGTTTATTCATCTTCTGCATTGTCATCCATTAGATCACCAATAGCATCATCCTCAGCCATAAGGATTGCCGCATCATCATCTCATTCCCCTTCGGTTTCCTGTCCCCGTTCCATCTTTAGCAGTCCTTATCACCAGCAGTTGCTTCAGTCTTATCACCAATCTCCTTGCCTTAGCACAAGCAGAAACTCAGTCGACCTCAGGGACCCAACTTCTCAAAGATCTGGTGGTGCTTATTTAGTTTCTCCTCACTCATTAGGTTACCCCTCATTATCACCTGTTAACTCCAGATACATGTCTCCATACATTCCGAGTCCCATCAATGCCTCATCAAGTTACTTCGGGTCTTCTAGTCATCTGCCTAATCCCCTTCACTATAGCGAGTCGGCTTCAGGCTTTTCACCATTTTCTTCTTCCCAGTCTCTTGCAGGGTGTTAATAAAACTACTGCAGTTGATTGTGGATAGTTGGCCAAAGCTCATCAAAGAGATCCAAGTATGGTAGGCTGTTTGAAAGGTGAAAAGTCGTCACCTAGTGTGTACGTAGAGTACTATAAGATTTGTACCATCTTTACATTAGCTGACAGTTTTGGTGTTTAAATCTTGGTTTCTTTTGAGGGTGTTCATATTTAATATGTTTTTTTCTTGGGTGCTTTTGGTGCACATGATGTCATGATGTTTTACTAGTTTCCAAAGAGGGATAGTTGACAGTTACAGAGGTTATTTGTGCTCAAATTGCTCTTTGTTCTTGTTTATAATAACTAGCTAGCTTTACTTCAATTAAACTAAACTAAAACTACTGTTTTGTAATATACTGTTACATATCTACTGAAGAACCTATCTTCACTTTAATACCAAAAGGTTGCCTGTCATCGTTGTTCGTGGCATGAACGATACATTGGAATAGACAGGAATGTTTATGACGCTGTATCATAACATGGGCATGTTGAATCCTTGCAGGTTAGACGCAAGTCATGACGAAACGACTAATTTACTTGTGAAAATATTTGGTACATTAGAATGGACACAAGTAGAACATCTCTCTCCTATAATCATGTGTAATTGTTTCCCGATTGGACATGACCTCTTAGCATAATGTTCGAGTTCCTGTTTTTATAATCTTTGCCAGGTCTTTGACTTGAGGAGAGCTTATATACATAGAAATAACAAACTTTCATTCAATTGTATTGAAATTTTAGATTATTTTGGATGCTTTTATCGTTTGAAAAAGATAGAAGTACTGAAATAATTTGAAATGATCTTTAAAATTGTAATCAAACCTCCATAAATACCCCCGGACTCAAAATGTTAAGCCATAAATTCCTTTGAAATTTGTGATTATTTTGTTTTATATTGTTCTTGTTCTAGGTAATGAGGTCGGGTTGATCGTATTTATTGTAATGAAATAAATAAATAATAAAAGAGGAAAAAAGAAAGCCACAGAGAATTCTATGGACATGCATAGTATCCTAAACTAGACGTGATTAAGAAAGTATATGTAACAATTATCTCAATTGTCATGTTCAAATCTATCCAATCCAATGTGTCGAACACATACATTGCTCTGTCAGCTACGAGTAATCTGAAGAGGCACACCAACATTTTTCTAATCCTACTCGAGTGTAGAGTAGAATTCTTGGCAATGCCATTTATGTACAGTACATATTGAACACAATCTGTCTGTAAAAAAAACAGCACATATTCAAAATAATCTCTTTCACAAAGATTAATACCATGGAGATGCTCAAATACCTACACGTACGTTGTCCGAAATAGCACGACTCTTCTGTATCAGATACCCTCCCGTTTGGTCATTTTTCAGCAAATGTTGGAACACGTGCAACTTTTAAACTAGTAGTGCCTCTAATTTGATTCAGAGGATCAGCAAGCATAAGTTCAATCTTCCTTGTCAGTGGCTCGATGTAACTCGATGGCTTCTTTCTGAGAGACAGAGCTCCCACCATGATCAACCTGGTCTCTATTGCCAACCCGTGGAGGTTCCTCCTTACCAATTGTGAGGATCAGTATCATGACAGCCACCACAAATATAATCATTAAAACTAATCTGATTCCCATCTGTGAGCCTATAAAATCAATCAAGGACGGACCAGTAATACGTTTTTGTATTACCTTTCCATCTCTGTAGTCTTCAAGAAAACGTGAGATTTGTGTACCAATATCAGTTTCTTCAATGCTTTCTGAGCCAATAATCTGTTGGGAAGGAGAAAAAGAGAGAGAATTGTAACATCAGTATGCAAGTATACAAATTTTTGGGCCAAATGACAAGCATAAGATACAAATGTGTAAAAAGGAAACACATTGTCTTTCTCATTACAAATGCGACATCTGAAATTGGTAAAAGGAACTGGTTTAAGGTTTTCATGAAGACAGCTTTTGAGAGCAAAGTAGCCTCACTTACCGAAAAATACTCCTCGTTTCCATCCCAAACAATCATTTTTGGCAGCTTTGTTTTCTTATCAACTTCAAATGATTCAGCGAAGCCTTCCCATTGCTTGACCCCAACATACCCAAATATTAAGTCACGATTTGCAGATGCAGCAGATTTCAAAAATCTTATTAATCCCAGCGATTTCTCATCTGTTTCATCCTGAATAATGGATAACACAATTTTCCTCTCATCATCTTTCAGCAACTGTAGGGATTCTTCATTGATGGGCAATGCCAGAGGGAACAAATTCTGTTTTATACAATCTTCAAGAAAATGCTCTGTCATTTGATACAAGAAAGATGCATTTAATCATCAAATGTGTAGAATTAGACTCACTAAAAATGTTGTAATAACAAAAGTTGAGGTTCTGTTTGTATATTATTCGTTGAAGAACTGCTAAATGCGCACGTTCAGACAATTTTGCAAGTCAAGAAATAGCAAAGAAATCTCAAAGAAAATTCTGATTTAGATATATGAGGCTACATGATCACCCAGCAGAACCATAAGGAAGTATGTACATGCTAGGAGAAAGTAAAAACCAAATAACGTTTGACAAAAGTAAATGGAAAAGGTACTTACTTAAATATCCACTAATTTTCAGGACAACAGAACTTTTAGGGCACGTTTGAACAGTTCTGGACAGTAGACAAGATTTTTAAGTTATTTTTTTAACCTAAGGTACTTTATAGTGTTGTCTAATCCACCATCTATGCAAAGTATAAACCAACCAAAGATATACAATTGCATCATTTCCAAATCCTAAATATGGGCTCAAAACTCCATCCACATTAAAGTAAGAAACATTAACCAACGAGTAAGTTCACTTTCCAATTCCAATGACATGGTATGAATTTGGTCCCATACATAAATCTCAACTAGGAAACTTTTAGCCACAATAAAGTATGTTATACATCAGATACTTTCTTTAAAATTTCAAAATGAGGCATGCTTCATTATGATGAAAAGTTGGAACAACTAAATTTTAATATCAAACACGAGCTAACCTTCAAAAGGCCCATAAAAGAAGCTCTGTTCCTTGTGGGCAGGATGAATGGAAGCCAAAGCAGGCACCTTATGTAAATCATATTTGTTCGTAATTGCATCGGAGAAATCTTTTGCAACCGAAAACCATGCTTTCTTCTTATACTTGACAGCCAAGTTTGATATCACGGACTCATTTAATCCAAATCCTATGAATAGAGGAAAATGAGTACCAGCTGCTTCGACAAATTCAATAATAGCAGGGTCAGAATTGAGAATAGCAACATCAGGAGCAATGAATTTCTTCAGGAATTGAACAAGTAAATCTGCTTTTTGTGGTCCATAATAATCTGAAGGAACTCCATGGATAAACATCTTCAGAGTCGGATACCCACTGCATTAAAGAAAAAATCATAATTTAGGATTTTACCCCTTTTTCTCAGTGCTTTTGTTAGCAAGCAGCTGTCTAATTTTGTAGACTAGATTTACTAAAATCAAGAAAAAGAAAAAAAGAAATTTTGTTTTCAATCAAGGTAACAGGAAATTTCGCTGTTCCCCAACTGTAATTGAATCAAAAGGTTGTGGCTGCATACTCAATTTCGTGCTTGGAAGCTAGACGCTTGTATTTGTCAGCATCTATTTTTGCCACAATTATAGGCTGCTTCAATCCAGCTAGAACAGGGGCAGCTTTATCCAACTGCATGCAGCATTAAAATTTGTCAATCTTCTTGTCAACATTGAATTCAAATTGTCAATCCCAAATGGACATTAAGGATTCAGAATACATCTCACAACAATGAAGGGATCGAAACAATATATGTAGGAAAAACCAAACAAGGATATCAGAGAAGTCAAAGAGCAATAGTGATTTCCGGTGAGCACTATGGGGTTGTTTGAGCCTCATTTTTTGGAAAATTCATTTTTTCAAAACTCATTTTCAACCACATATTCTTCAATAAAATAATATAACACACAAATTGAATTTTTTTTCTTAATTTTTAACCACACATTCTCCAAAAACCGCTATTCAAAAATGCATTTTTTCTCTCAAAAGGGGGCTCAAACACGGGCTATAATTATATATCTTTCAGCCCTCTATATAGTAAGATATCAAAAGATAAAGCATGGATATACTATTCCGTCATAACATTTTTTCCCTGTTGGCATCTGAAGCACTTTAACTCCGACTTTTTTCGTAGCTTGTTGAAGCCTGGATAAAAGAGAGTTTTGAGAGATTTGACAGCTAGTGCAAAACTCTGTCAAATTTCCAAAACAGTTCATTATGTGATTTTCTTTGACATGTCCTGCATCAGCGACGCGTTGCATCGGACTACTAATATAGTGAAAAGTAGGCGATAGTTAGAATTCTGAGTGTATTCCATAAATGATCAGCCATATTGGTGTCTGGATGCGTCCTGAAGTAAGCAAAGGTTCCCATGCTTTAATGGATAGACGTGGAAAGTTAATCCAGGATAACGGAATTAGAGTAGGAATATAGAATACAGATACACTGACCGGAAAATTGATAGAACTAGTACATTGCAAAATGCGCAGAAGGAAGTTCAGCATAACTTACATAGAATATATGAAATGAAAAGACAAAGAGAACAACTAGGGAGCATGAATTACAGAATTTACGTACTAGGGTGGTAGAAATTATATGGATCAGGGATTTGATTATATATATCAGTTAGACTTGTATTAGAAGAGAATTCAATTAGTGTTGTTAAAGTGTATATTAAGTAAATAGGATTAGTTAAGGAAACCAACCATATTCCGAACTTTGCCATGACTTTCCGAATCAAGGTACAAAATCTGTTGCATAGAATACAACAAGAAGCCAAAGTCTCAAGCTTTAAAGCATCAGTATTACCACCATATTAACTGCAGCATACTCAGATGTTCATTATGCGGACAATTTTTAAATCAATTAAAAAAGATCAACAAGCCAGCAAGGTACATCATATCTAGGATGATGTATAACACGCTGAAGTTGCAATCTACTGCAGCATTTATTTCACTATTAAGATAATCATTACTCCCTCTATTAAACATCCAATTCTAGGATAATAAAGGTTCACAGTGTGAAAAACAATTGAGAAGGATCAACAAGAAGCCAAGCAGGTACAATATCTCTTGCACGATGTACAGCACGCTGAAGTTGCACTCTTCTGCAGCATAGTATTAATTTCATTTTAAAAACAATCATTACTCCATTTATTAAACATTCAATTCGAAATACTTAAGGTTCACACTTTGAAAATCGATAAAAAAAAAAAAAAA